TAATCATAATTAGAATCTTTCGAAAGATAGAGAATTAAGACACAAGAAACGTCCTCTTAAGAGAGCTGTTCTTCCCTGGCTCCAAACTCATCGATCATCCTGTTCTTGTTCATTATCGCGTGGATCTTGGAACAGTTACAAGGCTTGAGCAAACACGAGATCCCACCAACAATACCGAGCTTTCTCGAGATCACAACGGAGTTGATAACATCATCTGTTGGATGATAGATAGACAAAACCTCGAACCCTTGAAGATCACACGGCTCAACGATGGGATAAAGAAAAGCTCTCGGACCATGAGCACTCCTAAGCATGAGAACAGCACCAGGAGCCATGTGTTTCTGAAGATGCTCGATCACTTTAACTTTATCCTCTTTGTTCATTCCAACAAGAGCAGCTAGAAACACGACATCGAAGCTCTTCAAGTTCTCTGTTACATCCATTATATCAACGGTGTGGAAGAACATACGTTGAGAGATGTCTGGATCAGAAGAAACCAGAAGTGAAGCGAGTGAGTTCGCTGATGGGTCGATGTCAAAGTTGTGAAAGATTGTGTCTTTGAGATGAAACGAAGCAAGAACGATGGAAGTTAGAGGAAGAGGACCAGATCCAACAAAAGCTATAGTCTTTGGGACAAAGCCGTTTAGGTTTTGTGTAAGGAGGTCGAACTCGAGCTTGCCTAGTTTTAAATAGTTGTTGTAGTAAGGGAAAATGTTTAGATGGTTAAGTGGGTTGTCTTGGAAAGAGGTCAAGATCGAAGAGAAGTGATGTTCTAAGTAACCTTCAGCTATACCACAGGTCTTGATGAGTTTTGTTCGAATCTCTTGGACTTTTTCACACATCTTGGTGACGTCGATGTTAGGGTTTGGTGGGATGCATGTAGTAACGAGCTGCGTGAAGAGAATGTTGACATCTTGGGATGGTTTGAGACTCTCGAGGTTAGAGATCTTTTCGTAGAGATCGCATATTGTTTTCACAAGTTGTTCTTCTTGGCAACTCATGTCGACACTATGAGGTTTTTTTTTTTGTTGGTTTGAGATATTGTTTCTTGGGTGGTGTGAACTGTTTCGAGGGATGGATATTTATCGGGGTAAGGTGGGTCCAGATCAACTAAATAAATGAATAAAAATTTCTTTTTAACATTCCATCATTCAAATAAAAATTTACTTTTCATCTGTGTAAATGCAAGTGTGACAAAATATGTAGTATAGAAAATAAATGACAGGAGAAATTTTTTCACGAGGTTCGTTTTCTATTCTCCAGGACCAAGTCCATAAATCAAATTCACTAGAATCAGAAAGCGAATACAACTTATTCGCAAACGCGTAAATCAAGTACAACTTCTTAATTTACCGTTCTGTTCAATAACATGGATTCTTCAGGATAACTTAATCCTGAGATAAACTCCCCTGAGCCTAGACTTGAGCTTTGTGGAGTCTTCACACCAACACGCACGGTTTACAACGGCACGCAGCCAACGACACACAGCCACGAGAAACCTTCTCACCAACTCACTTGATCAGCTCAAGCAACACGAACTGGTACAGCACCATCAGCACCAACTTCTTCAGAAACAACAGATTCAGCACAGCAACAACACACAACAAAGACGACGCCTTCTCTTAATCAATCTTTCTGTAACTTTTTTATCAGAGGCGTAAGAAAACTCGAACCACGAGCCTTCCTCTATATATACCTATAGAACAATGATTAACCCTAAGAAACTTTCCTTCTTGTAGTTATCATTTCTTTCTTTTGCTCTAAAATATATTCTTCAAATCTCTTTCTCTTTTTCTTCTAAGTAAATATATTTTTCTTTTTTTCTATTCCAATCTACGCTTGTGAATATTAATACACGAACTCCTCTCCACAAATCACTCAACTCAGCTTTTGTATCACTTCTTGTAGTAATCTTTGTAGTACAGTCGACTGGTACTTGAAAAATTTCCAAGTAACTCCTCTCAATATGCGCGGTTGATTTTGTATGACACTAAGCAAAATCTACATGAAACGTAAAAATAGATACGGTTATTGCTTAATGTTTTCATCTTGTTGGAGTTTAAATATCAGTTTTTTTACTAACTAGTAACTACATATTTACCACTGTTCTACTGGAAGCACGCAAAATTTGATTATACAATCCTCTATATATTAATAGAGGAGACACCAAGTAAAAAATCATATATATCATCTAAAGAAGAATTTAAGGACTTTATTTCCTTAAAAAATTATTAATGACAAATATATTGAAATAACAAATATGTGGTAATTAATATAGAGAATTTTATTTAAATAATAGATAAAATATTTGAAAATATCTTATTGTATTTTCAATAACTACTAGATTTTTTTATCCGAGTCAAACGCGGGATTAGAATATTTAAAAGCAAAAATTTATGATTATTTCTAATAGATGAAAGATATTAAAACTAACAAAGATAAATATATTTATGTTTGATCAAAATATAATTTTATGACATTTATGCACAATACATATGATTTTTGTATGTTTACAAATGTTAGAATACACGTCTAAATATTAAATTCGATTAAAAATATATTAATTATTTAAATCTACGCTTAGCGTGGGTTAGATTCAGAAATAAGGTGTTAAATCTAGTAGATTTAGAAACATAATTCATATATGGAGATAAACCCTAAACAATTGTGGACTATGGCATGCACGTGCCTATGTACTTCTGCCAACTCGTATGAAACAATAAAAAATGTTTTGATGCCTTATTATTTAAAATAGCATGATGTAAACACATTATTGGTACAAAATGAAAGAGACGACCAATATTATTGCGCAGTTCCAAATAACCAAATTAATTAAGAGCTCAAGGTAAGTGGCTAAGATAAGCTTATTTTTATTTAGGCTTTCTTGGTTTCAAAAATCAGTACTGCGCAAAGGATTCTTGTCTTTCAAGTTGCAAGTTTTCCATATCACCAACAAGTCCTAAATGTTTGTTTTTCTTCATTAAGTCTTTTTTTTTTTTGGCTAAAATTTCTTCATTAAGTCGCCTTTGAAAAGAAAAACTTTACCGACAGCAACATAAAAAGAGCAACTAATTAACATGAGATAGCAAAAAAAAAATGGTGTAACTAACCTATAACAGGTTTGCTTGACCAGATATACTTCTTTTTGTCTGTTTTAAAACATCAACATTGGCATATTTTTGTGAATTCTACAACTATACTATCAAACTGAATTATCAATTCTTTTGAAAATATTAAGAAGATGCGAATTTCAGAAGAAGCTATTATCTTCATGGCGTGTGTCTTCCACACATTTCTTACGGCTCTCGTTGTTTTCTTTTGATTTGGTTCATGATTTTTCTCAAATTCTTCACGCAAAATGCATCTATTTGTCCATCTAGAAAGAATAAAACAAAAATAACTTATCTCACTTTAGCTTTTAGAGATTCTACGAGAGTAACATATATATATGGAATACGTTGACAAAAAAACGCATATGAAACTGGAATCCATTTGAGACGAATTTACGAATAAAAAGAGAGATAAAAAGACACACGCCAACTTGAAAATGTCGATATTCTTTTATGAAAATGACACACTAATTGTATAAATATTTCTTACGCAAAAAAACATATTCGATGTGTATGCATGACTGCCTCTTGCAACAACTTGACGGCCAAAAAAACATTCATAAAATACTATTTGGTTTGTAACCACGTACTGTATATTCGTTGCAATTTGTAAAAGATTTGGGATAACTTTCTAATTGTTGTTGTCAACGGATTCCATATCTGTTATATTCGTAGAATTCCCAAAAGCTAAAACTGATCATCAAAGTTTTATTCTTTCTGTACACAAATAAATTATTGTTGCGTGAAGAATTTGAGAAATTCATGAAGTAAGTCGAAAGAAAACAAGGAGAGCCATAAGAAATGTGTGGAAGGCACACGCCAAGAAGATGTTTTTTTCTTTATGGAATAGACATATTCTTAATATTTCCAAATTTGATAAATCAGTTTGATACTTGTAGGAAGTCTTACAAAAATAAATTCAATATAAAAATTGTTTGAAAACGGATAAAATGAAGTATATTTGGTCAAGCAACCTTCACTATATCAAGTCTATCTTCTAGTTCTAGTGAATTGAGTAGTCCATCTCAAAGTTTATTCTTCTTCATTTATAAAAAAAAAACAAAATATTATTAATTTATGTCCTTATGTTACATTTTCATTTTTAGTGTAATATGAGCATCAAAAATAATAAAATAGCTACAAATGATTGTAAAAAAACAAATATTTCCAATTTTCCAACAAGAGAAAAAATAAACATTTGAATGGGCCACACAGGTGAAAAAGCCCACAAACTTTAACAGAAACGTCGTCGTATTCGGTTTGATTCAATTATCCCTCTTGGTCTAACTGGTTCCATAATTGACTCCAGAATCCAGTCCGGTTTAGTCTTACGAATCAATTTATTAGAAAAAACCACAAAACTGGGGAAAAGAAAACAGTGAGTTCTAATGGCTGCAAATCCGACATCGGAGCCGGTCGTAAATCTCCCGGCGACGCAATTTGAATCTCAGGTTACAGAGCCGTTTGGGGTAACTCTTCTGGTTCGGCATCTTCCTGATGGAATTCCTCATGATATCGTCTCTCGGCTCTTTTCTCAGTACGGAGCTTCTGCTGTTCGTCCTTGCTCCGGTGGAAAGTAAATTTTCTAAACCTTACTTGGACTTCGTATAAGTTAGAAAGTTCTAGATTTCTGAAGAAGATATTGGGGACTGAAAAGTTCATACTTTTTGTACATAAGGTTTTGTCAAGGAAAGATTTCATGGAATGTTGAAGATACAGGATGCAAACACTGTTCTTTACTTGAGAACAAGAAATTGAATGTGGAATTAGTCTAAGTTGACATATAATCTTTGTGACAGATTAAGGAATGGTGCATTTGTTGATTTCAAGAATGAAGCTTTTGCTTCTCAAGCACATCGCCAGTTAAATGGGTATCAATTTCTTCCCTCTTGGATTACTCATCTTCCATTAATAATGATGTAGTTAATCTGATGTTTTCTGGTTTAATGGTTGTGTAGGCTGAGGTTTCTTGGTAAGGTTCTGCAAGTACAGAGAGCCAATAAACCTAATGAGAACAAGAAGTCTCGACAAATCGAAGACTCTGTCACCAAGGGAAATGCTTTCTCTACAGTGAGTAGCAACAATGATTCAAAATCTGGGCAGATGCTTTCTGGTGAACCGATAGCTCCAAAACTCGGCATAAACTATCCTTTTCCTCCTCACCTGCAGTAAGTTTTACTTCTCATACTTTTTTTTAAGATTTGTTTCCATTTTGTATCACTTATTCAAAACATCGGTATATGTGTGTGTTTCTCTTCTCATCCTTCTAAAACACTATGTAACAACACAACACTAGTCCATGTTACTACCGTTTTGCGTATTGTGTGATCCGAGGGATTCTTATCATTCTGCCGACTTCAGATGCTTCTATATTTGATATGGCTCATCTTGCAGATATGCTTACCCACCACCCGATGCAAATATATTAGCCAACATTACCAATGCCCTTATCGCTGTCCCACCGTTATACACCCAGGTTAGCTCTGCTGTCAGTGTATGTGAGCCATCGATATATGTGTTTTTTCATTGATAATCTGCAGATATAAACTATCATATATAGCAAAAAAAACTAGAAATGAATTTTAGACTTTTTGATCATAGGTGCTGCATCTCATGAACAAAATGAATCTTCCACCTCCTTTTCGCCTGGCCCTGCCCACACCACCACTACCTAAAGCAGCCCCCCAACCAACTGAGTTGGAGCATCAATCTAGTAGCGAGTCAGAGATGGAATCTGATGAGGTATGGCTCGTCATGCCATATCTGCATTTTGTGATATTAGTAAAATGGCTTCATGCTAAGCTTGTTTTGGTTGCTTAGATTTACTTATCATAGTTATAATCTTGCTTTGTTGTCTTTTTTTTTGTTAGTGAACTTATGTGATAATTAACGCAAATACGTCTTTGTACATCCTTAGTATTTTCTCTCCTCTTTATATTCATTGTTATTGACTTACTTGGGTAAGAATTGTGATGGTATTACGTTTAGGATACAGGTACAGCAAAATCAGGAAGGCAGCGTGCTAGACATGACACTCTTGTTGGTCCTGGTATGGACAAGGATGTGCAACATGAGACTGTTGGAGTGAAACCCTCATCTTTGACCCCAAAAGAGATCCCTCGAATAAAAAAGAATAAACATGTTATGCAGGTATCCTACTATCCATAACTACCTTTCAGTTGTTATGCGTTGTAGTTGTGCTGATATTTGTAAGGTCTATGCCGATAGATCAAGATTACCCAAAAAGTTGCTCAAGACGAATATAAAGAGGATAGTGAGAATGAAGTCCATGCAGACGAGCCCATAGAAGAAGATTCAAATTGGAAACCCTTTGCGACTTTAGAGGAGTTGGAGAAAGGAAGGTTACCTCTACAGGATATTCTTTCGCTGCCTAAGTTCAAGGTATGGATACTTGGATCAAGTTATAGTAATGTTTGTATTGAGTAGACTTTTCTTTGATCCGTGTCGCTTGTGCTGCATATAGAGTGTCATCTCTGAAAAACATACTGACTGAGAGAA